ATGCTTAGCTTAAACACACTCTATAGCATACAAAATATTTTCTATCTTTACTATAAGCTTTTTTTCTATTAAAAATTTTCTTTTTTACTTTAAACATTTTGGTTAAAAGCTAAGACACAAACATGTACATTAGTCTAGGCCTACACAGGGTCAGGATCATCAACATTACTAATTTCCACCTCCATATCTTGTCCCACTGGAAGGTCTTCCGGGGCAGTAACACACATGGAGCTGTCATCTCATATGAAAACAATGCCTTCCTCTGGAATAACTCCTGAGAGACCTGACTGAAGTTGTTTTACAATTGACTCATTTTATTTTTTTGAGACAGAGTCTCGTTCTGTCTCCCAGGTTGGAGTGCAGTGGTGTGATCTCGGCTCACTGCAACCTCTGCCTTCAGGTTCAAACAATTCTCCTGCCTCAGCCTCCTGAGTAGCTGGGATTACAGGTGTGCGCCACCACACCCAGCTAATTTTCGCATTTTTAGTAGAGATGGGTTTCACCATGTTGGCCAGGCTGGTCTAGAATTCCTGACTTCGTGATCCGCCCACCCCAGTTTCCCAAAGTGCTAGGATTACAGGCGTGAGCCACTGCGCCCGGCTATTTTTTATATGTAGAAAGAGCACATTCTAAATGATAAAAAGTGTAGTAAATAAATACACCAGTAATAGTCATTTACTATTATCAAGCATTATATGTTGTACTTAATTTTATGCACTATACTTTTTTATTTTTTGAGATAGAGTCTTGCTCTGTCACCCAGGCTGCAGTGCAGTGGTGCCATCTCAGCTCACTGCAGCCTCAACATCCTGCATTCAAGGGATCCTCCCACCTTAGCTTCCTGAGTAGCTGGGTCTACAGGCATGCACTACTATGCTCAGTTAATTTTTAAATATTTTTGTAGAGACAAGGTCACACTATGTTGTCCAGGCTGGTCTCTAACTTCTAAACTCAAAGGATCCACCTGCCTTGCCCTTCCAAAGTGTTGGGATTACAGGTGTGAGCCACAATATCTGGCCTCCATACACTATACTTTTATATGACTTGAAGTACACTAGGTTTATACCAGCATCATCACACATAATGCATTGTGCTATAACATTAGCACAGCTGTGATGTCACTAGGCAATAGGAATTTTTCAGCTCCATTATAATCTTATGGGACCACGGTTGCATATGCAATCCAACTTGACCAAAACGTTGTTATGTAGTACACGACTAGCTTGGGAGGCCAGCTCTGAATTTACAGTACCTCTTGTCTCTCGACAGAAACACATAGCCTCTGAGACTTTAACACTGTCTAACTGTTATTCCCCATTAAGCTGTAAGTGCTTCATGGGTGGGTACCATAGTCTGGCAAGCTTTGCATCCTCCATAGCATGCAGTAGAGTTCCTTAACTCTCTTTGCCTCTCTTCTGAGATGGCATTGATCAGTTTATCTTATACTGTAATCATTCATGTCAGGGCCATGCCACTGAACGCCAGGCTCCTAAAGGGTAGATACTGAACCTTTATATCTGTCCAGAAACAAGCATTCTTAGCTTGGCTCTGCTTCAGGTGTTAACACTTGCTGTTCTCTTTACTTGGTTCTCTTTCCCCAGCTCATGAATTGGCTACCACTGCTGCAGAGATGCCTCTCCTGACCATTAAGTTTTGCCTCCACTCCATATTCTATAATATTAGTTTTTAATTTTCATAGCACTACCATATTTGAAATAATTTTATTGGCTTATTTGTCTTCTTTTCAATATATAAACTACAATGAGAACAGCAGCCTTATTTGCTATGTTCATTGCTATATTATCCAGTTTTTTTTAACACTGCTTGGCAAATAGGTGCTCAGTGTGAGTAAATGCTGACTCAGTGCCAAATCAAATGACTGGGAAGTGAGCATTAGTATCTCTTCTCCAAGGCTGAACAAAAGGTTAGTATGGAGAATGCAAAATAAAACATGTGCTCCAGCTTCCAAACTGGTTGAAGAAAGAAGTGCCAGTATGACCATCCGAGAACAAGACAAAGCAAACTATAATCAGGTGTAGGTGTGAGGCACAGAATCAGAAGCAAGAGAGAAAGAGGCAGTGGCTGAAACAGCTTGAGAGCAGGAATCATACCCTACTCATCTTTCTGTGTCTAGCACTTAACATAGTGGCTGCAGAATAGATGCTGTGAGCAACTGTTAAGTTGTACTGTGTAATGGTCCACCAAGGTAATGCCAGTGGATTAGGTGAGGTAAGAGACTGTGTATAACTTGGTATTTTGGTTTGCAAATATTCCCACTCAACACATTCTCGATCTATCTGTATTAAGATATTCTTTTAAATCTAGGGTATTTAAATAAAGGTACATACACAAGACAATGTTTTGGCTGAAATCCATGTTACCTATTTATTCAACAAAAAACTAAGTATCTTCTATGGTCCAGGCCATGTCCATGGCACTGGGAACAGAGATAAATCCTGGCTCTCAAGGAGCTCACAGTCTAGTAGGGGGAAAAAGACACAAGAATAAATAAATATAAAGTATTTGGAGTTTGCAAAGGGGGCCACTATGGGAGAGAAAGAGCAGAGGAACCTAAATAATCCTATAGTTAGCATCCATAGGAAAGAAAGACCTGGCAATGTACATTTTTGTAAAGAATAAATAAGGCAATGGTTATCAAAGTGTGATTGGCTAATTACCTACATTAGAATTATCTGGAGCACATATTAACAAGTAGATTCCCAGTCCCTTCTGTACAATCTTGATTTAGTGTGGTGGTGGTGGTGGTGGGGGGGGTGGTGGCGGTGGTGGGTAGGGTTGAGGCCTGAGAATCTGCATTTTAAAAGCATTCTAGGTGATTCTACTGCATCTTAAAATTTGAGAACTGATGAGATAAAGTTTGTTCTTTTAACTGGAATAAAGAATGATCTACACATCTGAAATGCTAACTTGTATTAATCTTTAATGAGGGGCAAGGGAAGTAAAGGATGGTAGTTGATATTTTCTACTGTAGTGAAGTTAATTTAACTCTCACAATAATCCTATGAGGTAGATATTATTATCCCTACTTTTGATGGAAAAAAACCCAGAATTAGACAGTTTAAGCAATGTGTTCAACAGTATAGAGCTAATGAATAGAAACACTAACATACGAACCCAGATTCACTTAATTCTAAAGCCTGTCCACTTTCTCGAACACCTAACTCTAACTCTGACACTTTCTCTAACATGCTAGCTAGCACCACGGGATAAACTGACTGATCAAATGGTCAATTTTCTTTGAGTTCTTTGCCAGGTCTTTCTAGGTAAATAAACACAAAGAACAGCTATATCTATTTTAGTCATGCCCAACATAATTATCCATGGACATATCCTTCTTGGAAGGTAGGGACTGAGGGCAAAGCCAGGAGGAGCGATTAAAACAAGTGGCCATTTCTTACTTTCTTTTTTGAGACAGAGTCTCACTCTGTCACCCAAGCTGGAGTGCAATGGTGTGGTCTCGGCTTACTGCAACTTCCTCCTCCCAGGTTCAAGCGATTCTTCCACCTCAGCCTCCCGAGTAGCTGGGACTATAGGCGTGTGATCCCACACCTGGCTAATTTTTGTATTTTTAGTAGACATGGGGTTTTACTATATTGGCCAGGCTGGTCACAAACACCCGACCTCGTGATCTGCCCGCCTCGGCCTCTCAAAGTGCTGGGATTACAGACATGAGCCACCGCGCTTGGCCCCTGTTTCTTACTCCCTTTTCCATCATTTCCTCACCTGCTGGTGAAGGTGTAACAATATATCATGTAAGGCTAATAACTGGGTCCATCTGGAAAGAAAAACAAACATAACTGGAAACCCATAAAAACAACCCCATGTGATGTCAAAAATTCTTAGGACCCAAAACATTCAGAAGGTCAGAAGGCATTTAATGAAAATAGAAGGGCTGATAAGACTCAAGTTTCTCAAAAGATAAACTGCCACGACCAGAAGCAGGTCCAGAATTTACATTAGGAGACAGCTCAACCTTTAGAGAAATAGTGAAAAGATAGCAGCTTCCCCAGGTTAAACAAATACTGTCTGTCTCTCTTAATACATAGACTCAAAGGTACAACAAAAGAGACACAGCTCAGAGAATAGTGAAATGTCCATTCTATTTAAAGAGCTTAGGGACAGGCCCAACCTACAAAGAGTCTTCTGGAAGAAAACACACCCACACAAACTGCAAATATTGCTTAAATTCCCACTCACCACATTCAGCATCATCCAACCAGATCTTAGGCAGGAGCAGCAAAGTGGAGCATGTTAGATCAATAAATAAATGTCAGGCCAGGTGCAGTGGCTCAGACCTGTAATCCCAGCAGTTTGGGAGGCCAAGATGGGTGGATCACTTGAGGCCAGGAGTTCGAGACCAGCCTGGCCAACATGGAGAAACTCCATCTCTACTAAAAATATAAAAATTAGCCAGGTGTGTTGGCATGTGCCTGTAATCCTGGCTACTTGGGAGGCTGTGGCAGGAGAATCACTTGAACCAGGGAGGTAGAGGTTGCAGCAAGCTGAGATTGCACCACTGTACTCCAGCCTAGGCAAGACAGAGTGAGACTTCATCTCAGGAAAAAAAGAAAGAGAAAGAAATGCCATAGTAAAGGCAGCTGACAACAATACTGGGGGCTTTGGCTTCAGAAGGCTGGTGTGTAACCACCATCCTTTCCTATTACTGAGCTTGGTGCCACAACAGTGACACTACAAACAAAAGATGGGTTTCCAGCACTGGAGAGCGACTTTCTTATTTCTGGCATCCCAAGCAATTGTTGAGTCCCAAGATGATTTTTGATAAAATCAGCCCATAGCCTTGATACTATGGATAGTATATAACTTAGATTTCATTATTTTATGTAACAAAGATTATAAGCCAGACTTAAAAAAAATTATTGCTGTATTTTCCCCACATCCAAATCTGGGAACAGTTGCTTTCACCCACTTTTTTGTATCATGTTTAGAGTTGTTTAAAAAAAAAATCATGCAAATCTGGATTAATCTTCATCTTACAAAAGCATTTTATTTACACTGCACTGATTCACTCCTTCAAACACACAGTTTCTAACAGGTGGAGTTAGAGAAGTGGGTGCCACAAACTATGGCTTAATAGTATGCAGACCCTGTACCTGTTTATCTAACTATATCTGAAATTGGCTGATACCCCAAGCCAGCTATACTAAAGGCATCTCTAGGGGGCATCATCTAGATGAAGTCTTTATATTGATGGGTATATCTGGTTATTCTACAGTTTGAACAGGATGTTTGGCTTATGCTTTTGTCCAGTTGATTGGTGCATGGGAAGCATTAAAGCTCGTATCTAACTACAGCAGGTCTTCAAGCTTATTATCCTGTCATGAGTTTATAAAGATGACAAACTCATCATCTGGGAGCTATAAGGTCAAAATGGCCAGAATGCAACTGCACTATTACACGGTGCAAAATCAGGTCAACTGTTTTACATGTCCTTGGTTACCTGTTGTAACTTCAAACACTTAAAAAAGGAAACCTCAAGTATGCTGAGATACTTATCAGAATGTTTGGGTACCTTAATTCCTGAATATCAAGTAATAGGGCTCATCTCCATGATTGCTTGCAATAAGCACTATAATGAGCAACTTATTACCAACTGCTCATTATAGATGCTGAGCTCTTAAGTTCTTGAGGAGTGGGTGGGCTCTAGACTATCAAGGACTAAGCCAACTAGCAAGAGCGAAGCTACAACCTTTTATGGCTTGATAGAAGTCATTCTCCATCATTTTTCATAGTCCTTTTTTTTTGGACTATGGTAAAGGGCCAACCTGTACACTTCTAAATCTTATTTTGGTTCTGGGCACATTTCAGTTCTGCTCCAAGTCCACTTTGCTCCAATTCAGCGATGACAGACATATATTTGAACTCATTTGGTCTGAGGTTAAAGGTCTCCACTAACCCGTACGTCTCTTTCCGGTCAGTAGCATAGAAGAGCTGAACTTGGTTGGCGATGCACTGTGCCTCAGCAACATTCTGTGAGGTAAGGAAAAGAATAATGAGGTCCTTTCTTGCACAGGGCCACAAAGCTCTTGTCTGAGTTCTGTGTTGGGTGGGGACCCTCGCCCAAGAGTCACCACTTCCAGAAAGTTTCCCTAACTTCCTGATGTCCCTAGTCTTTGTTAGGTGCCTTCCCTGTGTACCAAATCATCCTGTGCTTATCACTATCATAGAATTTATGATACTGTATTATATTTTTCTTGTTTTGTCTATTTTCCCTAGTACAAATTCCTCAAAGACATAGACCATGGTTTGTTTTATATCTCTGCACACAGTGACATCTGGTGAATGTTTACTGAATAGATTAATGTACGTGTTCACATTATTCCTCTTCATCCAGTTCCTTAATAATTGTTAAATATGTCCCAGGAGGGAAATAAGAGAGCATTAATTACCCAGCTCTAAGAACCAGTTTGTGAGTGAGAACTAAGTTCTTGACTAATCAGACATACACTTGAGTAAAACCTATTATGATACCACCTTGGTCAGAAAAGTACTCCCAGAGCCAGCTGTAATGGTTTCAAAATTTGCCCACAAATTTTTTGATACTCTTCCCTTTGACAGAGCCTAATTTCCCTTTCCTTGAGTGAGGGCCATACTCAATGACTTCCTGCTAACAAGTAGACTATGACAAAATGGCTGGGGGCCTACAGGTGTGAGCCTGTAGTGCCAGCTACTCAGGAAGCTGAGGTGGGAGGACTGCTTGAGCCTGTCTGGGTAATGCAGTGAAACCCTATCTCTTAAAAAAAAAAAAGACTATGAAAAATGATGGAGAATGACTTCTATCAAGCCATAACAGGTTGCAGCTTCTCTCTTGCTATCTTTCTTGCTCTGGGAAAAGTCAGTTGACATTCTAGCAGTCCTGTGGAAAAGCCAACATGATGAGGACATGAAGCCTCTCCCAAGAGTCACGTGAGAGGGGCTGGATGTGGATGCTCAAGCCCAATCAACCTTTGGATGACTGTACCCTTAGACAATATCTTGAGAGCAACCTCATAAGACTCTAAGCCAGAACCACTCAGCTAAGCTCCTCCTCAATTCCTGAACCACAGAAACTGTGAGGTAATAAATGTTTGTTGTTTTAAGCCACTAGGTTTTGTAGTAATTTGTTATGCAGCCATTTGTAACTAATACATCAGCAAAGGCCCAGGGAAGAGAAGGGGCCACCTTCTTTAAAGCTCAGTAGCAGGCCACTCTACATGACAGAGGTGGAGAAATTAGCCAGATATGGTAGAAAGAGCCTGTAGTCCTAGCTACTTGGGAGGCTGAGGCAGGAGGATCACTTGAGCCCAGGAGTTTGAGGCTGCACTGAGCTACAGTCATGCCAGTACACTCCAGCCTGGGTAACACAGCAAACTCTATCTCTAAAAAAAATTATATAAAAATAAAAATTAAAAAATGAGAGAGATGGGGGTAAGGACATAGTCTACACTTTCAAACCTTACAAAAGAGTCACCTCAGACAACACTAACTTTTGCCATACATTCTGCAGTTCCAGTTGGTCAGAAGTACTTGTCCATTATTATCACTTGTATGGCCAAAATTAAACCTCAAAAGATAATGGAAAATTCCCACTAAAAACTGACTGCCAAAAGTGTGCTATGTCTAGCTAGAAAATGATGAAGATGGGTTTATAAATAACATAGGCTGTGCTCCACCTCTATTCCCTCTGTGGGACTTTCGGGTCATTTCTTATGAGCAGGCACTAATCTCTGAGACTGCATCTTCAATCAAAAACCTTTTCCCAAAAAGCTGGCTACTTCAAATTAATAGAATTTTAAAGCTACAAGGGACCTCAGAGATCACCCAGTTCTCATTTAATAGGCTAGGAAACCAAGGTAGATGAGGTTCAGGGATGGGCCCAAGGTCAAGTAGCCAGCCAAGGTCACAGTCAGGATCAGAACTCTAGACTCTCTGGCTGGTATTTCCCCCACTTCATCCTGCTTTTGTTTCTGGTAAGACAAGATAATTAAGATTGATTAAGGTCAATAACCCTACTTCATCCATTTTACCTTTCTTAAAGTCACCGATGCCTCAAGAGCAAATCATTTCTGAAGCAAGTGCACTGCCATAATCTGAGGATACTACCACTCTCTCAGCCCCTGGCCTACAGGGCCTCTGACATCAACTTTTATCTGAAGCTGGGGGTGGTGAAGGTAGGAGTAAGTTCATCTGTGTTCACCCTAGAACACTGCTGTTCAAACTATTCTACAGAATCCTAGGGGCTCTGTGGAGGTGCCTCAGGTCCCTTCACCTCTGTTTTAGCTGTCATACCCTGGGGTTTTACATAATCAGATTTTGTTTGGATAAAGGGATCCTCCTACTCTTTAAAGAGAAGTTTGAAGACCACTAGTGCAGTGAGAAGGAAGGTAAGACACAGGGAGTGATGTCTATCTCTCATGGAGGGTTATTGAAAGGCAACTCCCACCACCCTTATTCTCCCCCTGCCTTTTGTTCTCTTGGCTCTCAACATGAAGCAATAGTCTCCTCCTTTCCAAGACCCAATAAGATAAATACACTAACTCCCTGTGCTGCCCAATAAAGAGGTATTTTAACAAACTTGATTCCTCCCTCTCTTTCAGTCTTCAAATCTATAATCAATGCACCAAGTCCTGCCTATTTTACTCCCTACATATTTCTGGGGTCATTCTCTTGCTTCCATCTCTACTACCACTGCTTGGTTCAAGTTTTCACCACTTCTTGTGCAGACTATTGCAACTGACTTCTAAATTATCATACTGACCTGACTTGAACTACAGAATGTTTAGGAAGCAAATAAGGTTAGTGGTCTTAAAATCCAACTCCTTATGGGTTCTTTTCTATTCAGATCCTTTTACAACTCTTTTTATGCCCTTAGGGTAAAGCCAAATCTCTAAACACAACCCACCAAACCTCCTTATATACAGACATATACACACACACAAGTGATACCAAGCCCTTTATAATACTCCAAGTCATTTTACATCTCTTAGCATTTACTTACGTTATTCCCTCTGTCAGAAATATTTCTTCCCTTCTTTATTGGGCTAAACTCCTGCTGGTGTTTGAAGGTTCAGCCTGGGTGTCATCTCCAGGAAATCTTACTCCCTTTGGCCAGGGATACCACCCCACTCTCTACCCCTAGAGCCTTCTGCATGTCTATCCTAGCATTTACTGCCTTTCAATGAAATCATCTATTGACGTAGATGTGGAGCCAAATAAAGCTAGGTTTTTGAATATTCCATTAGTTTTTCAGCATTAAATTTAGTTCAGAAGAAACCTCTAGTTTCTATGTATTCATTCATTTGAGGTTAATGCTTTGTACCATAGTTGGAAATACTATGCCTAAAGTGCACAGTTCATGCATGAGTATACAGGGGATCATATATTTATGTTATACTTCTAAGTTTCCCTTCTCTGAGTCATGTACAATAAGTTCTAACATGTCTAGTTCTATATTTACTACACTGGAATCTCACAGTCAAGCTGATTTATACAACACAAATATATATTATTTTGTATGCCCTCAAATGTTAAAAGGCCAGGAAGCAAATTTTAACAATGATGAGAACTGTGCAGCAGTTTGAGACCACCAGAGTGAGGTGGTAAAAATGGCAAAAAGCAGAATGGGCCTCCTCTGACCTCTGGGATCCACTTTTAATATGATTAGATGCTGCGCTTTGCCAAAGACCAGAAAATATAGTACAGTCTCTATTCTGTCACTCACTCTCATGATCAAATTATTTCCTATCTGCTCACTCTCAACTTCCACAACCCACTAGGACTCAAAATTCTTATTGTCTCTAACCTCCCTTATATTTTCACTTTCCTCATTACACAGCTTCCATTCTGTGGTAATAATCATTGCTTTGCATTCACCTTTACTTTCCTTCAGGCCACAGATAATATGTAAATAAATGAACATGGCTGTGTTCCAATAAAACTTGAAATACTACTTTTCTTTAATGATAGTCTTTATTATTAAATAAACAATTTCTTTATTTCTATAACAATAAAGAGTCTTTCTGCCTAACCATTTAAAGAGATAGGAAACATTCTTAACTTGCAGACCTTATAACAGCAAGCAGTGGGCTGGATTTGGCCCACAGGCTGTAGTTTGCTGACGCTTGTCCTAGACAACAATTTTGTACTTCCTCTTTTTGACTCAAATGTCCAACATTTTCCCAACCTTGCTTTTAGCTGATAACTTTTCTTTCTTTTCACTGAGCAATCTGTAGAAAACTTATACTACTACCTCTATCCATCTAATTATATCAGTGTCTTTACACTCTGGCTTCTCTCCTGCTATCATATTCCTGGTAAAGATCAACCTGCATTACCAGACTTGCCTACTCAAATATATCACTTCTTCCCCTATATCATCAATTATTTCCCTTTCTACTGGATCTTTCTTTTGAGACAGGGTCTGGGTCTGCCATTCAGGCTGGAGTGCAGTGGCTCAATCTCAGCTCACTGTAACCTCTGCTGCTGGGACTTAAGTGATTCTCCTACCTCAGCCTTCTGAGCAGCTGAGATTACAAGGTGCATGCCACCATGCCTGGCTAACTGTTGTATTCTTTGTAGACACAGGGTTTCACCATGTTGGCAAGGCTGGTCTCAAACTCCTGAGCTCAAGTGATCTACCCACCTTAGCCTCCCAAAATGCTGGGATAACAAGCATGAGCCACTGTGCCCAGCCTCTTACTGGACCTTTCCCATCAGCATACAAATATGTTATCTTTCTCATATTTGAAACAAAAGATACCCTTGGCTGTACTTCTCCACCTCCAGCTATTACCCCTTTCTCTCCTTCCCTTTATAGAAATGCCCCTTGAAAGAGTTTCTAAACTGATTCTTCATAGTTTCTCTTTCCATCCTCTCTTAAATCTACTCCAATCACACTTTTATGAAACTGCTCTTATAAGGCACCCAGTGACTTCCATGTTTGTGAAATCAGTAAATTCTTAGCCCTCATCTCATTTGCCCTAATAAACAAGGGAGAGAGATTTGGTGAGTTGAGCTGTCCCTATTCCTCGAAACATTCAATTTTAGCTTCTAGGGCATTGTACAATCTTAATTTTCCTTCTACTTCATGACCATTCCTCCTTAATCTTTGATGATGCTCCTTCATTTCTCAAGGGATGAAGCCCCCTCTCTCAGTTCTTAGATCTCTTCTCATCTCTATTTTTACTTACTTGCTTGGTGATTTCATTCAGTCCCATGGTTTTAAGTGTAATCTGTATGCTGACAATTCCCATATTTACATATCCAGCCTGAACCTCTCCCATGAATCCAGGCTCATATACCTAATTGCCTACTACTTGGATATCTAATAGGCATCTCAGATTTAACACATCCAAAAGTGAGCTCCTGATTTTCCTATCAAACCTATTCCTCCTTCAATCTTTCCTATCTCAGTTAATGGCAACTCTATATTTTTGGACAGAATTTTGGGTAACTTTCAGTTGAATGTGATGAATGGAAGCTTTTATGTGGAAGGAAGAATGGGAGAGATGGAACTAAATAGCTTCAAGGATAGGGAAGTAGAATCTTCATTGTGTCCTAGGTTTGTGGCTTACTGCTACTGTGATATTAGTTGAGTGACATCACTTCTTTCCCCCTATGCAGTTGGTAAGATTTAAAGAGAAAAAATAAGTGGGTATTGCAATGAAGACTGTTAGGGGGAAGTGTCCACTGTTCGGGGACATTCTGAACTTAACCTCTGCCAGCTAAATGTGATTGCAAAGAGCAAGGACTAGACAAACAGAATGTACAGTAATCACAACACTGCTCCTGGCACCTGGATGTGCAGAGAGAACATAGTGGGCATCATTAGCTATGAGCATATGGTCAATGCTCAATGAATGCTCATATGGAAATGCTCATATGGTCAATGCTCATATGGAAATCTCAGTGATTTCCATCTAGGAATGGGAAAAGGAGGAAAGAAAATCACTATAAATGATGAATGTTGTACACACGAACAGTATGAAGAAGATAAAATATTGACAGCTATCCTAGGCTTCCCTACAACTCTTCCCTATGATTAAGAAGCCATTTACTTGACTCTTAGGGCCTGATGTGTCTTAGATTCAGAATTATTGAATTTTAGAAAGGTAATAGGTATAGACACTGTATAACTATATTATGTGACTCCCCGTACTCCAACACATTATTATTTCCCTAGTAAAATGCATAATATACCATACCAAGTGGGATTAATTATATAAATAGTTTCACATCAATTTAAAGCTTTAGTTACCAAATGAGTTCAAGTTTACATAAGGTTTTGTGACCAAATGAGAACAAAAACATTTTGTTCTCAGAGCCCATGGGTTTCAGAATTGTGAATAAATGATTGAGGATCTGTACTAACCTCAGATCGAAAGATCTTGAGCAAGACAACTTTACAATAAGTAAGAAACAAGCTATATGTAGCTCTCTGAAATTTCCTGAGCTTTGGCAGAAGAGTAATACCTTCAGTGCCACAAGGTAAATCCAAAGAGTTTTACAAGTTAATTCTTACCAGAAATGTGGAATCCATTTCTGCAGTCATCAGCACTATGCCCTTTTCTTCCTTAAGTTCAGGATAGTGATATAAAATCAGCTGGCTGGCTGCAGCTTCCCCTCGGGTCTGCAAGGTGGAATGCTTATCAAGGCTCAATAAGGTACCATCACAACAAACTGCAATTTCAAAGCAATAGAAAGTCTAGAGGAAATTCTGGCTCTTAACAGCTCCTTGGGTGGCTAGTGAGTTGGAGGACTGATATGTGGCAGTAAGGTCAGGCCTGCAAAGGCACAGTGAAACTGACAGTTTGCACAGTATTATTTGTGTCTTCAACTGGAAAAGGTTTGGCTTTTTTCCCAGAAAATATTTACAGTAGGCAGTGAATCCGTCATTGTGACCATACATTTAAAAACAAAATGGCACAAGCAGCTACCAAATCAAGTTCTAAAGAAAGTAATATGCCTGTGTAATTGCCACTTTTATGGACTAGTGCATTTCACAGCTGAAATCTACTCCTCTTGGCTGGCTCTGAAGACTGAGCTCTTTTAAGCTGTAGCAGGAGCTGGAGAGTTTGCACATGAGCCAGATTTGTAATGTGCAGTTATAAAATATAATCTGGGTCGGGGCGGGGGGCGTGAAGGGGAGAAGGAGGATGGAAAAATCATAATTTTATGAAGAATGATCAGGGCAGTGGTTACTAAACCTCAAGTCTAGACCAAGTAGAGAGGATGGGTTCAAAGCTAAAGTCCCTATACAGCACAGGAGGAAACAACTATATTCAAAAGAAGATTCCTGGATCTTATCTCTAAAATTTCAGCAAGAATCTTTTAAATTATATATATCCAACTATCACTAGGGTACTTGCAATAGTTCATTTTTCTTGAACATACTTCTAATGTTATACTGATCATTTTGGTTATTATTCTAATATTATATTAATCACTTTTATTGTAATTATGTTTCTGGATCTTTCTCCTATACTTGAATATTAGCTCCATGAAGGCAGGGATCTTGTCTCATAGATCTCCAAGTCTTAGCACAGTTCCCAACACAATCCCATAATATTTAAAAGTTAGGGTTAAATCTAATAGTTAAAAGTTAATATTGTTTTATTGGAAATAAAGAACAAAAAGGAAGGAAGCAAACAAAATAATATTTACTAAACAAACTATTTACTTAGCGTGTTGGAAGGTGTTGACTTAGTTAATAAAACACATTTAAGACTTGGAGCTTTCCTCAAGTGGCTTATAGCATGGGTTAAAAAGATAACTATCATAACTCAGGCATGTTTGTTAAAGCGAGGCATATGCAGCATATACAATTAGAGGTTTGAGGAAGAGACAAAAGAGAATCAGAAGTAGTCAGAGAAGGTGTTTTGGAGTCTTTTCCAATTTCTAGGTATTGAGGAGGGCCTAGAAAACTAGCTTAACATAAAAAGTATGACAATTCATCAGTGCCACAACAATAAATGCTGGGAGTCAGGAGATACTCTATGTTCTTGAGCCTCAGCAAGGGTCCCTAGTCCCACCAAGAGGTAGTCCTCTCTAGAGGAAGAGCACAAGCCACCTACCTGAATATTTATAAGTGCAGTGAAGTGGAGTTCAGTACCTGTCCATTGTCCTACAAAGAACTCATAACCTTCCCTTCTTGGCAGAGCACACAGAAACTGTGAAAAACAGATACACAAGGAGATGGATGAATAAATAAAATCATTTGCTCTATATCCAAACCACCTTTAACATTCATTCTGTTTCCTCCATATTTGGTTTTTAAAACATTTTTTATTTTTTTGAGACAGGTTCTCATTCTGCTGTAGAGACTGCAGTGCAGGCGTGATCATAGCTCACTGTAGTCTTGATGTACTGGGCTCAGGTGATCCTCCCACTCAGCCTCCCAAGCAAGTAGCCGGAACTACAGGTGTGCAGCACTAAGCTACCTTTTTTTTTTTTGATAGAGATGGGATTTTGCCATGTTGCCAAGGCTGGTCTTGAACTCCTGGGCTCAAGCAATCCACCTCCCTCAGCCTCCTAAAGTGATGGGATTATAGGTGTGAGCCACTGCTCCCAGCCTAAAATGGTTTTTTAAAATCAAGAAATTCATATGTGGCAATAAACACTCATGTACTTGTCAATCTACCTAAGAAAGCATCAGAAATACAATTGAGGTTCCCTCTGCATTCCCTTCCAGTCCCATCCCAGAGTTAACATCTATCCTGCATTTGGTGTGTCTGTCCTTCTTTTTCATATTTTAATACTTTTAATGTATATGTGTATAACTATAAGTAAGAAGTAGTACTTTACAGGCCAGGCATGGTGGCTCAAACCTGTAATTCCGAAACTTTGGGAGGCTAAGGTGGGAGGATCACTTGAGCTCAGAAGTTTAAGGCTAACCTGGGCAATATAGTGAGACCCTGTCTCTACAAAAAAAATACAAATAGTTGGGTGTGGTGGCATGCATCTGTTGTCCCAGCTACTTGGGAGGCTTAGGCAGGAGGACTGCTTGAGCCCAGGAGACCAGCCTAGGCAACATAGTGAGACCCTATCTTTACAAAAAATTTAAAAAAATAGTAGTTTATGGGACAGGCGCGGTGGCTCACGCCTGTAATCCCAGCACTTTGGGAGGCTGAGGCGGGTGGATCATGAGGTCAAGAGATCGAGACCATCCTGGTCAACATGGTGAAACCCCATCTCTACTAAAAATACAAAAAATTAGCTGGGCACGGTGGCGTGTGCCTGTAATCCCAGCTACTCAGGAGGCTGAGGCAGGAGAATTGCCTGAACCCAGGAGGCGGAGGCTGCGGTGAGCCAAGATCGTGCCATTGCACTCCAGCCTGGGTAACAAGAGCGAAACTCCGTCTCAAAAAAAAAAAATTAAAAAATAGTAGCTTATAAATTTAAAAACTTAAATCTTATCAAAATATGTGTATCCTTTTGTAACTTTTTTACTTCATATTATGCTTCTAAGATTTATTCATGTTGACAACTGTAACTCTTAATTCATAAATTTCTCACTGTTGTATGGAATTCTACTATAGAAATTTATCACTATCCTCTTGATGAACATTTCAATTTCTTTTTTTCTTTTCTTTTTTTTTTGAGACAGCATTTTGCTCTTGTTGCCCAGGCTGGAGTGCAATGGTGTGATCTTGGCTCACTGCAACCTCCAACTCCTAGATTCAAGCGATTCTCCTGCCTCAGCCTTCTGAGTAGCTGGGATTACAGGCAATCACCACCATGCTCAGCTAATTTTGTATTTTTAGTAAAGATGGGGTTTCTCCATGTTGGCCAGGCTGGTCTTGAACTCCTAACCTCAAGTAATCTGCCCACCTCGGCCTCCCAAAGTGCTGACATAACAGGCATCAGCCACTGCGCCGGGCCACATTTCAATTTCTAAACTTTTTAATGTTGCTCAATTAGCTCTTGTTCCAATTGCTTAATTACTTTATATTCTATTGGATGAGGCTGATATTGGAGCATGGCTCCAGGCTAAACACCAAAAAATGATAAGTTTTATGCTCAAGGTGCTTAGGATTGGGGATGAGTAGTGGAGAAGAGAATGGAAACAGAAGTAAAAAGCAGCCCAATCCACATTAGTCATGAAATTATCTTTTTATTGCCAACCGCTCGGGCTCCAATTTATTATTAGATGAGATAAACTTAGTGCCTACCTAACAGATGATCCATTGCGAGGGAAAATTTTTTTTTTACAGCTTTATTTAGGTATACTTGAAATACAACAAATTGCACATATTTAAAATATACAATTTGATGAGTTTGACATATGTGTACTGTGAAACCATAACCAAAATCAACATAATGAACATAGTTATCACTTCCAAGTTTTCTTTGCCCTTTTGAGGTTCATAATTCCCTGTCCCTCACTGTCCCTAAGCAATTACTGATTTGCTTTCTGCCACAATAGGTTAGTGTGCATTTGTAGAATTTTGTAAAAATGGAACCACAGGGCCAGGCGCGATGGCTCACTCCTGTAATCCCAGCACTTTGGAAGACCGAGGCGGGTGGATTGCCTGAGCTCAGGAGTTCGAGACCAGCCTGGGCAACACGGTGAAACCCTGTCTCTACTAAAATACAAGAAATCAGCCAGGCATGGCTGCGAGCGCCTGTAGTCCCGGCTACTCCGAGGCGGAGGTTGCAGTGAGCAGAGATCGCTGGAGTGCACTGCACTGCAGCCTGGGCGACAGAACAAGCCTCCGTCTCAAAAAAAAAAAAAAAAAAAAAAAAAAAATGGAACCACAGAATAAGTACTTTTTTTGGTTTGATTACTTTCACTCAGCATAATTGTTTCATGATCTATCCATGTGTGGGGACAAGAGTGACTTTATTTTAAATGCTAGTCCGCAATGTGACTTCTGATTAACCCCAAGTCCAGGAATGCCTCCCAAATGCTTAGTTGATATATTACTCTTTATGCAGAAACATCTATTCATTGTAAGTTTCTTCCAAAACAATCCTTGATGCTGTTGCAGAAATCATTGGTGTAGGTGGATGACTGGATCCACCTATACATTCCTTCCAGAGCATGTATACTTTCCCCAAGATGTCTAGTTGTGGTGTGGAGATATACCTGTCTTGCAGCCACCCAATATTACACTTCTGTATTTCAGTTCCCCCAATAAATCATCCTGTACCCACAAACTGGATTTGCCTGCCTCCTTCTTTGGCTTCAGGTCCTTCAGTATTTGGGGGTCGTTTTGCACCTATGGCCCTTTTGTGGAACACCATGTTATTGCATGTATCAACAGTTAATTCCTTTTTATTGCTAAATATTATTCCATTGTATATGTACACACACACACACACACACACTCTCTCTCTCTTCACAATTTCTGTGCACTAGTGACAGACACTTGAATTGTTTCCAGCATTTGGTTATTACAAATAAAGCTGCTTGAACATTTGTGCACAAGTCATTCTATGGACATATTCTTTGAGTTCTCTTGGGAAAATATCTAGAAATGGAATGGCTAGTTAGTATGGCAGGTATATGCTTAATTTTTAAAGAAACTGCCAAACTATTTTCTAAAGTGCTTGTACCATTTTTGCAATATGACTGGCAGTATACGAGAGTTCCAGGTGTTCCACATTCTTACCAACACTTGGTAAGTTTTCGAAATTTTAGTCATTCTAATGGTATCTCACTGTGGCTGTAATTTAGATTCCCATTATGACTAGTGATGTCACGCATCATATTTTCAGGTGCTTATCTGCTATTCTTTCATAAAATGTTTAAATCTTTTGTCCATTTCTGTCCGTCCTCTTATTGTTGAGTTACAAGAGTTTCTGACATAACTTGAGCTGCTTATACCTCTTGGCTATTGTGACTAATGTTGCTATGAATGTAGAAGCTATTTGGGTATACAAATAGAATGTTTTAATTTTGATGAAATCTAAATTATTAATTTTTATTTATTTTTTTGAGACAGAGTCTCACTCTGTCGCCCAGTCTGGAGTGCAGTGGCGTGATCTTGGTTCATTGCAACCTCCACCTCCCAGGTTAAAGTGATTCTCCTGCCTCAGCTTCTGGAGTAGCTGGGATTACAGGTGCATACCACCACACCCAGCTAATTTTTGTATTTTTAGTAGAGACGAGCTTTTGCCATGTTGGCCAGGCTGGTTTCGAACTACTGACCTTGAGTAATCCACCTACCTCGGCCTTCCAAAGTGCTGGGATTACAGGCTTGAGCCACCACACCTGGTTTATTTTCATTTTTTTGAGACAGGGTCTCACTCTATTGTCCATTCTGGGCTCACTGCAACTTCCACCTCAAGTGATACTCCCATCTCAGCCTCTGGAGCATCTGGGACAACAGGTGCTTGAATTTTTTTTTTTTTATAGAGACAAGGTCTCACTATATTGCCCAAGGTGATTTTTTTCTTTTACTGTTTGTGCTTTTTGTAATGGACTTACAACATCTTTGCTGAACCCAAGGTAATTTAGATGTCTTCTTTTAGAAGTTACATTATGGACCAGGTGCAGTGGCCTGAGGCAGGCAGATAACCTGAGGTCAGGAGTTTGAGACCAGCCTGGCCAACATGGTGAAATGCTGTTGCTACTAAAAATACAAAAATTATCTGGGTGTGGTGGTGGGCTCCTGTAATCCCAGCTACTCAGGAGGCTGAGGTTCAAGAATTGCTTGAACCCAGGAGGCAGAGGTTGCAGTGAGCTGAGTTCATGCCACTGCACTTCAGGCTGGGTGACAGAACAAGACTCTGTCTCAAAAAAACCCCCAAAACCTCGTCTCTACTAAAAATAAAAAAATTAGCTCAGCGTGCTGGCAGACTCCTGTAATCCCAGCTACCTGGGAGGCTGAAGTAGGAGAATAGCTTGAACCTGGGAGGTGGAGGTTGTAGTGAGCTGAAATCATGCTGCACTGCACCCTGGGTGAAAACGCAAGTTCTGTCTCAAAAAAAAAAAAGAAGTTACATTTACTTCTATGATCTACTTTGAGTTAATTTTTATATATAATGTGAGGTAAAAGTAGAGGTTCATTTTTTGTGCATGATATTCAATTGTTTTAGCAGCATTTGTTAAAAAGAATATCCTTTCTCTAATTTATTGACATCTTTGTTGAAAAACAACTAACCACATATATTTGTCTATTTCAGGACTCTACTCTCTTCCATTAATCTACATGTCTATCTTTGTGTCAATACCATACTATTTTCATTACTGTATCATTGCAATAAGTCTTGAAATAAGGAAATGTAAGTCCTCAAGCTTTGTTCTTTTTCAAAATTGTTTTAGCTATCTCAGGTCCTTTGGATATCCAAGTAAAAATTTAAAACCAGCTCATCAATTTCTTAAAGGCCTAGTGAGGTTTTGACTGGTATTGTATTTAATTTAGAGACCAATTAGGAGAGAACTGACACCTTAACAATATAAAGCCTAGGCACAGTGGCTCCCACCTGTAATCCCAGCACTTTGGGAGGCTGAGGCAGGAAGACTGCTTGAGCTGAGGAGTTTGAGATCAGCCTGGGCAACATAAGTGAGATCTTGGCTCTACTAAAAATCAAAAAAATTAGCTGAGCATAGAAGTGCATGTCTGTAATCCCAGGTACTTAGAAGGCTGAGGTGGGGGGACTGCTTGAGCCCAGGAGATTGAGGCTGCAGTAAGCTATGACCACACTATTGCACTCCAGTCTGGGCAACTGGAGTGTAGATCCTGTCTCAAAAAACAAAACAAAAGAAAACAAAATGTTACAAATTGAGCCATCCAATCCATGAACATGGTATATATCATTTCCATTTACTTAGGTATTCTCTGCTTTTCAGTAATGTTTCCAAAAATTTTTTGGAAACCCTAGAAGTCATTACTGACACCAAGTTAGCTGGTCCACCCCCCCTACTCCTTTTCCCTTAGGCCTTCTGGCAGCTTAGTATGTCAGCAACAATCTCTTAATTCCTTTTAGGCACATATTACCAGGATAACATAGCCAAAAAAACTGTGAAGAAAACTGCCAATAAAATAGGCAGCTCAGCCCAGTTTGAACAGCTATTATTAAAAAAAAGACAACCTGCAATTCCAGCACTTTGGGAGTCCAAGGTGAGAGGATCGTTTGAGGCCAGGAGTTCAATGCCATCCTAGGCAACACAGTGAGTGCTCATCTCTAAATGAACTTTTATATACTTTGATAGAATGTAAATTAGTACAGCCATTATTGAAAACATTATGAAGGTTCCTCAAAAAACTAAAAAGAGGCTGAGCACGGTGGCTCGTGCCTATAATCCCAGCACTTTGGGAGGCTGGGGCAGGTGGACCACCTGAGGTCGGGAGTTTGGGACCAGCCTGACCAACATGGTTTAACCCCATCTCTACCAAAAATACAAAATTAGCTGGGCATGGTGGCACATGCCTGTAATCCCAGTTATTCAGGAGGCTGAGGCAGGAGAATTGCTTGACTCTGGGAGGTGGAGGTTGCAGTGAACTGAGATTGTGCCACTGAACTCCAGTCGGCAACAAGAGTGAAACTCCATCTCAAAAAACAAATAAAAAACAAACAAAAAAAGAGAACTACCACATGATCCAGCAGTCCCACTACTGGATATATATCCAAAGGAAAGGAAATCAGTATGTTGAAGAGATACCTGCACTCCCATGTTTACTGTAGCACTATTCACAATAGTCAAGATATGGAATCAACCTAAGCATCCATCAACAAATAAATGGATAAAGAAAATGTGGTATCTAAACACAATGGAATACTATTTAGCCACAAAAAAAGAACAAATTCTGTCATTTGTGACAACATGAATGAGCTTGGAGAACGTTATGTTAAGTGAAATAAGCCAGGCACAGAAAGACAAATACCACATGTTCTCATCCATACGTTGGAAGCTTAAAAAAACAACAACACAAAACCGATCTCATAGAAGTATAGAATAGAATAGTGGTTACTAGAGGAGGGAATAGCCTATAACCTTTTGGTTAAGGTATACAAAAGTAGAGCCAGTTGGGGGAAATATATTCTAGTCTTCTTTGGTACTACAAAGTACTATAATCAACAATGATTTATTGTATAGTTTCAAATAGTGACTAGAAGAATGGATTCTGAATGTTCCCAATACAATGAAATGATAAGTGTTTGAGGTGACAGATGTGGTAATTATCCTGCATTACTCACTGCACACATGTATTGAAATATCATACTATACCCCATAAATATAATTATTATGTGTCAATTAAAAATAAAAGCCCCCCACCAAAAAAGAGGTTGATAAGATTAAGGTCTCAGGTGCCTTCTGAAATGTACTTGTACTGATAGATTAAGATCTGCATCAGTAAGGGCTGACATGGTAGGAGATGAAAAGCCAGAGGCTAATAAAAAGCCCCCAATAGGAGATGAAAAGCCCCCAATAGGGCCAAATCCATATCATTTTGTAGGGCTGAAAATGTCACTTATTAGTACAATCAACATGTGAGCATCTTTATTAACAGAGCACTATAACATGTGAGACAGTATAGAATATGATGTGATTGGTTGGAAAATACTTGTTTGGCAGCATTGATAAGCAACCCTTACATGGTCACCAGAAACTTACCGTTGGACACGACTGAGCTCGGTTCCAGATCAAATCAAACTTTTCTTCCTGCAGGTTGGAAAAGAATAAAATTAACCTACAAACAGTAAAACACAAAAGGCCATAATCACATTTAAATTCACCAAGACTGAATTCTAGAATTATAATACAACTAAAACAGTCTTTTAAGTGTCATCATTTACAAATTACTCATGATAGAAAGACAGGATAAACCAGACAACTGTTTTGCTGTTTACTGTAAGAATTATGTGTAAAGACTAGGCACACCAAGGCTCCAAATGCTCCAGGAAACTCTGACAAGTGTCAGAGACATCAAGTTACTAAGTCAGTTTGAGGGAAAGCTGAGAAGGCCTGGTCAAACAGTGAGTCAGTACCAGAGATCTAAAACATCATGAAAAGTGCAGACTCTTCTTCTGGCTGTTGAATTCATGAAGGATAAGGGTATATATGTATGAGAGATTAAAAAAAAAAAAAAAAAGAGTGACACCCTCATAACCGCCAAAAGATCTGGCTTTATAACAAATTCCTTCTGTCTATGTTTTCCTCCTTAAGCTTATACTTACTCATGTAATCTCAGTATATATTTGTGTGCTTGATAGAAACTAAGCCCCCACCCCTCCTTCAGAGAAAAACAATTAAAGAACTAGCTGATAATCCACTACTTAAAATGCTTTGTTATAGCAGAGGCCAGCAAAACAACATTAAACCAGAGAAGCCAGCAGCATCCCTTCTCTGTCACAGACCTTAATGGTCAAGCAGTAGATGGTAATCATCTCCTTTTTTTTTTTTTTTTTTTTGAGACGGAGTTTCGCTCTTGTTACCCAGGCTGGAGTGCAATGGTGCGATCTCGGCTCACTGCAACCTCCGCCTCCTGGGTTCAAGCAATTCTCCTGCCTCAGCCTCCCAAGTAGCTGGGACTACAGGTGTGCGCCACCATGCCCAGCTGATTTTTTTTTTTTTGAGATGGAGTTTTGCTCTTGTTATCCAGGCTGGAGTGCAATGGCGTGATCTCGGCTCACTGCAACCTCCGCCTCCCGGGTTCAGGCAATTCTCCTGCCTCAGCTTCCTGAGTAGCTGGGATTACAGGCACGTGCCACCATGCCCAGCTAATTTATTTTTATTTTTAGTAGAGATGGGGTTTCACCATGCTGACCAGGATGGTCTCGATCTCCTGACCTCATGATCCACCCGCCTCGGCCTCCCAAAGTGCTGGGATTACAGGCTTGAGCCACCGCACCCGGCCTTTTTTTTTTTGTACTTTTCATAGAGACGGAGTTTCACCATGTTGACCAGGATGGTCTCGATCTCTTGACCTCGTTATCCACCTGCCTTGGCCTCCCATCTCTTGATCTCGTGATCCACCTGCCTCGGCCTCCCAAAGTGCTAGGATTACAGGTGTGAGCCACTGTGCTTGGCCTGATCATCTATATGAGTAATTTCAAAAATGGAAAGACAAGAAAATGCCACTTACTAAGGAGAATTGCCAGAGAGAGTAGGAAGAAGCTCCAAGTCAGCTCAGGTATAGGTCACTTACAGACAAGAAGGGAAAAATGCTATGCTAGACACCCTGTCTTAAATTCCAACAGCTTGGCTGGAAAACATCAATAAGAAAAAAAAGGCTGGGCAAGGTGGCTCAAGCCTTTAATCCCAGCACTTTGGGAGGCTGAGGCAGGCGAATCATGAGGTCAAGAGATCGAGACCATCCTGGCCAACACGGTGAGACCCCGTCTCTACTAAAAAATAAAAAAATTATCTGGGTGTGGTGGCACATGCCTGTAGTCCCAGCTACTCGGGAGGCTGAGGCAGGAGAATTGCTTGATCCCAGGAGGCGGAGACTGCAGTGAGCTGGATTGCGCCACTGCACTCCAGCCTGGCGCCTGGCAACAGAACAAGACTCTGTCAAAAAAAAAAAAAAAAGACATCTGAAAATTACTCAGCAACATGAACTTATACTACGTTCCCTTGTCAGAGGCTTGACTCAGAGACATTTCTAAAGTAGAATGAAGGAAAACAAAAACCATAAATATACCATATGGAGCTTCCAATCTCTGGTGCTCGGGGCATAATAAAAACTCTCAGCGCTGTAAAATGCAGCTTCTCAAGAGGCAATAAACATAGGAAAAGTAAAGGCAACTGCCTGCTAAGGTTAGAGAACTGACTTTCAAGTTGTAACACTTTCATTTCCCACCCCAAACTACTTACAGGAATAACTGCGTAGACTGTATCTTTTGCTGCAAAATACTGCTGCCAAATCTGTACAAAAAAGAGAGGGGGTCTGTGACATGTGGGCAATCTTTTCAACATGTGCCAAGAAATGGTGACAGCTTTCATTGCTCAGAGTAATATGCTATTTGATAACAGAGAGGAAAAACTCAACATAATGCTTTCATTACTAGCACATGATTACAAAAAAGATTTAATACAATCCACTCTTCTAGATGATGAAACTATAACTCTTAGTAACAAATTCCTGACAGAGAAACTGATTCTGTGACTTTAAAAATCATTCCTCTCAATAAGTGCCTTATGTGTGATAGACAAGTTCTTTTTTTTTTTCACATTTTTCTTTCCTCCCCAAACCCACCTTCCCCAGCCAACTGTGAGCCTTCCCAGAGATTTAGAACTAGAGTTCAGGGTTCAGAGTCAGGCAGATCTGGATGCGAATCTCAGCTCCAATCATTTACCAGCTATACTACCTTGGGCAAATTACTGAAAACTCCCTAAATAACATCAATAAAATAGCAATAATAACCTCACAGAATTGTCATGACTAGCTAAAATATTGTAGGTCTGTGCTTAGCTCAGCACTTGTCACAGAATAAACACTACAAATAATGTTAGCTTTTGTTAGATATTGTATAAGGCCATTCTCACACTGCTAATAAAGATATATCTGAGACTGGGTAATTTATAAAGGAAAGAGGTTTAATTGACTCATAATCCCACAGAGCTGGGGAGGCCTCAAGAAACTTACAATCACGGTAGAAGGGGAAGCAAATGCATCCTTCTTCACATGATGGCAGGAAGAAGAATGAGCAAAAGGGAAAAAAAACCCCTATAAATCAACAGAACTCATGAGATCTCACCAGAATAGCATGGAGGTAACTGGCCCTATGATTCAATTAACTCCCACTGGGTCCCTCCCATGACATTTGGAAATTATGGCAACTACAATTCAAGATGAGATTTGGGTGGGGACACAGCCAAACCATATTAGCTATTATTGGCATCTTATAGGCAGCTCTTAAAATCTTGCTTCCAGAAAGTCTTCTACATGTGGAAGAGATAAGGTCTGTTGGATCTGACTATGGTATATACCAATCAGAAGTCCTACCTCTGCTTGGCATTAAGGAACAAGGAAGGTATAGTTGACCTTTATGATGGAATACCAAAAGGTAGGGAATAAAAAATTATATAATAAAATTTAAAAATTAGAAAATAGGGAAAAAGAAAAAAATGCCCATAGTCTTACCACCCTAACAAAAATCACTATAATTTTAAGTTATTTCTTTCTAGTATGTCTTAAGAATATTTTTTCTTTTATAGTATATCTAGATGTAGCATATAAACAAGTATGTTTTTATCATTTACCATTATATTAATAACATACGGATACTCCACGTTCCTATTTTTTACTACCATTATTTGTTTTTGCCTTCCCATGCCTTTTCAGATGTTATTGGCTCTAACTAGAAAGCCTTTCTCTCCCTATCTCTAACCCCCTAAATTCTTCCTGTCCTCTGAAGCTGGGCCTATATGCTTCTTCCATATAGTCTTCCTTGATCGTTTTAGTTTTCCTATTTTATTTATTTTCTCCCCCCTGCTTTTATATTTTATATCTCTCTTAAGATGCCTAGGATATGCTACTTCATAATAAGATCATTTGCATAGGATCTATTTCCCTCACTAGTTTGCAAGCCCCCTGTAGGCAGGTATCTGCTGTATTGTCACCAATGCCTTGCAACCCAAAAAGTACTCAGAAATACTAGTTGAATAGTAGATGATTGTGACACAATAAGGAACATGTAATACAAAAGAGGCACATCACCCCGGGTAGGGAAGAGTGCCAGAGTAAAGGACACTTGAACTGTATCCTGAAGAATGATCATGAGTTAGTAGGGAAATAAGGAGGCTGGGAAGATAACAGGTAGGGCAGGAGAAGGAGATAAGAGACACATTCAAAGCAGAGAATGACAACACTAGCAAAGGCACATAAGTAGGAAAGGGTATCATAACTAGGGTGACACCTGAGTGAACTAGTGTTGAAGAATGGGTCACCCTCCTTTAGAGTTGGTCTGCTTTGTCAACATTCCTGTTAAAATATGAGGCCCCAACTGAAGATACTAATCAAAGTGTGATCCATCTAACCAACAAAGAGCAAAAAAGGACTATTAACTCTTAGGACCTTATGAAAACTACTCTTGATGTGGCATAAGGTCTTTATCTTTTCTTTTTTTGCATGTCAAAACACTGTTTTCTCATTTTAAGGGCAGCATATACTGACTATTTTTATTTAATTTATGATATTAGCGGATAGTTTATGAACCAAAACTGAAATTCATGAGACTGATATTTATTTCCTAATATAGTTGAATTTAGCTACTCATTTCAACAAACAAATTTGTACCTAAAACTATAGGTCTCAATGATACTTACCATATGATCACGCCTCCTGGGCCTAGCTTCTCTTTTCCCCTAAATGACATGTTTGGTTTCCATGTTCCTTAGGTACTTCTTCCCAAAGGCACAGGCTGAGTTCTCCCTGGGACTTTGCATATGCCTCTATTAACAGAAATTAGAACCCTGTGTTTATCTTATCTGTTTTGTGGAGGCTAAAACTCCTGAGGATGAGGATTCTCTCATTTATCTCTGTATCTGGCACAGAGTCTGACATTTAATTGGTATGTATTAAATGTGTGCTAAAATAAATAATATATATCCTTTGGATGCTGGCACCCATGGCAACTGGCACAACTTCCAGCTGTGGAAATATGATGCAGAGTCAAAGAGACATGGGTTTGAGTCCCAGCTCTACGACTGACTAAATTACATAATCTCTTTAAGTCAGTTTCCTCAACTGTAAACTGGGAATAATGGCACCCACTTCATGGGATAGTTAAGAGAATTTAATGAAATAATGCATATGTTAGGCCGGGCGTGGTGGCTCACACCTACAATCCCAGCACTTTGGGAGGCCCAGGCAGGTGGATCACGAGGTCAAGAGATCAAGACCATCCTGGTCAACAAGGTGAAACCCCATCTTTACTAAAAATACAAAAATTAGCTGGGCATGGTGGTGTGTGCCTGTTGTCCCAGCTACTCGGGAGGCTGAGGCAGGAGAATTGCTTGAACCCAGAAGGCGGAGGTTGCGGTGAGCCGAGATTGTGCCATTGCACTCCAGTCTGGGTAACAACAGTGAAACTCCGTCTCAAAAGAAAAAAAAAAAAAAAATAATGCATATGAAGTATTAGGCATTATACCTGATACAGAGTATGCTGCTTTTATTATTATTTTGATCATTTCAATCTACCTAATATATAATTCATGGAACTATATGCCAAAAAAATAGCTTATTAGAAGAATTAGAGAGAAAAGAATCACAGGTAAAAAAATATAAATGACCCAACAGGCAGGATAGCTCATAAATGCTTTGAAGGAAAGTGTTCAGGAAGCTTCCCGCAGAAGGTCCTGTGATAAAACTATGAATGCGAAGAAAAGGAATAAAGGAAGTCACTGAACACTTGTGACCAGGTTCCTAACATAGTATTTTTCATTTACTTAAAAAAATAAATATAACACTTTCAAACTGTGCCAGGGACTGTTCTAAGTGCTTTATAAATGTTAACTCATTTAATTATCCAAATAACTCTATGAGGTAAGTATTACTATTTTACTTTAAATAGGGAAACTAAGGCCCAGATAAGTTGATTAACTTGTCCAAGTCCTAGAGCTAGTAAGTGGCAGAGCTAGGACTTAAAACTGGCAGCTTGGTCCTAGAGTCTGTGTTTTTAAATCTGCACACTATACTTCTCCATAATGAAAGGACAAGTTTCAGAGGACTCAGTTGATGAGAATATTATGGGTGGAGTGAAAAAAAAATAGGAGCAGGGAAACCTATTTGGAAAGGGAATGCAGTAATCCAGGTATAGATACTGATGAGGGTTACAGGAGGTGTGGATTAACAAATGAAAAAAGAAAGGAGAAATACAAGTTGATTGGACATATGAGAGTGACAAAGACGACAAATTTTCTTATGACATTGTTCTTCAAGCAACTCATCACTTTTGCCTTTTATTATTACCTTTCATTATGGCTAGAAAGAGGTGTCAGAAAATGTACTCTCAGATTTGGTTCACAGAATTCACATTTTCATAGAGTATGCCAACCCATTTTCATTCATTACCTGTTTTATTTCTTCTGCAGTTTTCTCTTTTACCATCTCAATGTTAAAGATTGAACTGAGAGTCTTGAAAGAGAAAACAAAAAGCAACGAACACTTATAATTAAAAAACAAAACAGCTTAACTCTATCTCTAAGCCTGTGGCAAACATGTCAGGACAGTGAAACAGATTTCCAGTAAGTAGAAAACAAGTATAAGAAAACCCACATGCTCAGAGAAAGTGAGCTCCCAAGCCCAGACAGGTTTTCATAGTTCTTTTCCTGAGGAGTATTTATTAGGTCGCCATGTACTTTCCAAGTGCTTCACCCTTACCAATGAGTCCTGCAACACTTTGCAGCTAGTAAGAGGAGAAAGTTTGGTTGTTATTTTAAATTAAACTGCTAATGCTAGGGGTCATGGTCAAGGATACAAAAGTTCACAGAAATATTTCTCACTTCTACAGCTGGAAAACCACCTTACACAAAATTACTGAACCACAGTACTTATGTTCAAATTTGCAGCCTCTTGTTATAGATGTCCCATATACTTCAAACTTTTTTCCTATATTTAATTAAAAACCTACCTTGTCCTTAGTGAATCCTCTGCTCACAGACTGTTTCCCCAAGGCATCTGTCTGAAATATATGATGAGACAAGATATTAATCTACACTTTACTCATAAGAAAAAAGGTCACCAAGCTAGGTGAGGTACTCAATCTCATTAAATAATTTTGCATGTGAGACCTCACTTCTCTCCACTTTTTACAATAATTGTTCTAAAAATTTAACACTGTTAAATTTTACTGTTGGCCAGGGGTAGTGGCTTATGCTTGTAATCCCAGTACTTTGGGAGACCAAGGCAGGTGAATCACAAGGTCAGGAGTTAGAAACCAGCCTGGCTAACATAATGAAACCCCATTTCTACTAAAAATGCACAAAATTAGCTGGGCGTAGTGGTGGGTACCTGTAATCTAATGCAGTGTTTTTCAAACTTTTTCACTCAGGAGGCTGAGGCAGGAGAATTGCTTGAACTGCACTCCAGCCTGGGCGACAGAGTGAGACTCCATCTTAAAATAAATAAATAAAAATAAAAAGGCCAGGCGCGGTGGCTCAAGCCTATAATCCCAGCACTTTGGGAGGCCGAGATGGGTGGATCACAAGGTCAGGAGATCGAGACCATCCTGGTCAACATGGTGAAACCCCGTCTCTACTAGAAATACAAAAAATTAGCTGGGCATGGTGGCACGTGCCTGTAATCCCAGCTACTCAGGAGGCTGAGGCAGGAGAATTGCCTGAACCCAGGAGGCAGAGGTTGCGGTAAGCTGTGATCGCACCATTGCACTCCAGCCTGGGTAACAAGAGCGAAACTCCATCTCAAAAAAAAATAATAATAATTAAAAAAATAAAATAAAAATTATTCTTTATAAGACAGCAACATTCCTCTAAGATTCTGAGATGCAGAGATAAGATTTCTCTGTCAGTAAACTATCATGTACTAGTACCAAGAGTCCATTCTCCACCTGCCACTATGGATATGAGGGATTTCTTCCTGAAATTAGGGCTGCTTGGGATTACTGTGCTCTGTACCGATCTATTCCACACTAAGCCAAAGAGGTAAGAAATGGAAAGATGTGTTATCCAATGATACTGCTTATCTCTGACAACACTTTGACGGCAGGCATCTTCAGCAGACTAGAGTCTTTTTGAGTGTTCAATCTTAATGTTTCCTCCACCAAATTAGACTCCCTTCAAAAAAGGCCCACAACAGCTGAAAGTGATTATTTTGTCTCTTAGCCACGATCTCTCATAAAGGTCATGGCCAGTAAATCCTGTTTTGAGTTGTTTCTGATCATAGAGATGGGTTGTTCTGAGTCTTCCACCCAATCTTTAAGTTCAAGGCTATACTTCTCAGAAGTACATTCTACACCTGGGATTCTGGGGCAGAAAAACACTTTCTGCATAAAACTTTGCCTTTAGTCACTCTGTGCTTTAATTAATCCACACTTTTCATAAATGATGCTCATAGAACTTATACCCACAAATTAGAGAAAAGTCTGTTGAACACATTTTAGTCTTTTTGGTCATGCTCCTATACATTGACAGCATCCTAGTGTAGCTGTTCCTTCATATGTAAACCATCTAAAAAGGAGATAATTACATTTTCTTTCTTTCTTTTTTTTGAGACAGGATCTTGCTCTGTTGCCCAGGCTGGAGTGTAGTGGCAATGTTGGCTCACTGCAACCTCTGCCTCCCAGGTTCAAGGGATTCTCTCACAGCCTCCCAAGCAGCTGGGTCTACAGGCATGCGCCACCACGCCTGGCTAATTTTTTGTATTTTTAGTAGAGATGGTGCTTCGCTATATTGGCCAGGCTAGTCTTGAACTTCTGGCCTCATGTGATCTGCCTGCCTTGGCCTCCTGAAGTGCTGGAATTATAGGCGTGAGCCACCACTCCTGACAGGTATTTCATTTTCAGACCACTCACTCAGGTGTACCATGAGAAAAACAACAACAACAAAAACAAAACCTCCACTTGCACAGCTGCTTTCAATCTTGAAGCCTCATGTATTGGTTTTTATATAGTCTTGCTCTGATCCATTCTTTGTATTCATTTTCACTTATAGAACAAAAAATTTAAGCTCTAAGTATAAGCTTATTGCATTTTATCAAATCTAAGACATCATATCTTAAGACGCACCGTTATTTCATGCATCAGAAAATGAAGCCAATTAAATAGCACAATATTTTCCTGTCACATCAATTATAAGCAATTTTAGTGATGTTAAAATGAGAAAAAGATTATTCTAATGCAGTGTTTTTAAAACTTTTTCACCATGACTCACAGTAAGAAATATATTTTACATTGCAATTCAGTACACATGTATGTATATGATTAACTAAAAAAAATTTTTACAAAATAATGCTTACTTTTAAAACATGCAGTCCATTCTTATTAATTTAAAAACACTGCATTGGAATAATTTTCCCAGACAGTTTTCAACATGCTTTTCCTTAGTTTTGATTCCTATTTAAGGATAATAATGGCTAATATATATTAAGTGCTTATTATGCCAGAGACTGAGTTAAAGAGTTTTAAATGGTATTTTTCTTCAGAACAATTCTGTGAAGTAGATACTGTTATTATTCCTGTTTTACAGATAAGCAAACTGAGTCATGGAGAAGTAACAACTTGCTCAGAGTAACCCAGTTAGTAAGTGGAAGAGCTAGGATTCGGTCCTTGGCATCTGGCCCCAGAGCCCATTCTAGCAGCTAAGTTATCCTGCCTCTACTCCTTAAGCCCAAAGAATTTAATGCCTAACCTATTCTTTAGACTTAACACTTCCCTTTCCATTTTAATTGGGCACAGTACCTCACTGTCTCCTGAAACCCCCTTTACTTTCAAAGCTCTTCCTCTTTTTAAGTTAATTCCTCAACATGGGAATGGATGCGGGTGGGTTGGCATGGGTGGTTGGTAGTCAGGAAACTAAATCCAGTCTGCTGAATGTTTTTGTAAACTAAGTTTTATTGGAACAGAACCATACCCATTCATTTACTTACTCTCTAGGCATGCTTTTGCACTATAATGGCAGAGATGAGTAGTCATAAAGAAGACCATATGGCCCACAATGCCTAAAATATTTACCATCTAGTTCTTTACAGAAAAGATTTGGTCACCGCTGCTCTACATCAAAGTCCCACTCCCTCCTCTCTACTTAATTTAAATCCCCCACAACGTTCCTAGCCTAGGTCAGGTTCCATCTCCTGTGGGAAATTTTCTGATACCTCTAGCCCACTACCACGTGTGCCTTACCTTGGCCATTAGAACTGCTCCTCTTGGGAGCAGGAAGTACCCCTCTCATACTTCTATATCTCCACCATGACCACAGTACCTTGCCCAGAAAGAGCAGGATAAACATTTATGGATGGAAATGGAGTTGGGAGAGATTATGTTCAGTTTATCCAGCTGACCCATCAATAAACCCACATAAAGGATAAGGGTAAGGATAAGGAGGTTGAAGGAGTGCTAGTAAGCAAACACCAGAAACAGGGGCAGGTCTTACCTTCTGCTCCACACATTTGATAAAATCACCTTGCCTGGAATGCCCCACTGGCTGCTTCAGAAATTCACTGCGTTTCTCCAGTCGGGACTCAAAAGCAGCTGGGTCAGACCTGATCAAAAGTAAACCAATGGTAAACCATCTGGGCCTTTTTGGATTCTAAAGCATCACTTTCTACCTCCACAGAGAAAGGACACTGGCATTCAGAGAGGCTGAAGAATTTGCCTTCAGTTAGTAAGAACTGGGCACAGGCCTAGAAATAAAGAAACTGGAAAAAGAAATCCAGTTATTCAACTGTTGTTAATTCTCAAGGGGCCTGTGTAACATTTTTCTTTTGCAGGCTATTCCTTAGGTTTACACAGGGCTTAGTCCCTCAGGTACTTACATTCAGGGTACTTAGAATTTTGAGGTCATCTTGCTGGATCACCTCTTCAGGCAAGAATCCTATAGCCTCCTTACTAGGTGTCAAGCTTTTTACTTGAATATATCTAGTTCTTAAAAATACATTCCCTCAACCAGGTTAAACATCTGTTTTATTCAGATCCTGATGATTCAGAGGCTTTGGGCAGCCTATTTTGTAGAAAATTTAGCATCTGAGTGTCTCTCTGAACCACCAAAGCAGCTGCTCTTGGCGATGAAACATCAGAACATATTCTTTCTGTCAAAATGGGGTTGGTTTTCAGGTGTGAAGTCCAGGTTGGGGTGCTGTCCCCATTAAGAATTCTTCAGGCTGTGTAGCTGACCATGGGATACTTGGCTTTGCACACTTTGGTGAAGATATCATCCAGGGATTCCATCCTCTTGGCCATGAGACCCAGAGTGTCATGGGTGAGGTCTGTAGGACCCAGTGACATCTTGGCTATCCCTATGGTGAACTTTCCTAGTCAAGGCACTCTAGGGGGCCTTATCTTCCATAAAATTCCTTTCTGGAGGTAACATAAAACACCATTCCCTTCACTGTCATGTAGATGGGTTATTTTCCTTTTCTCCATAGTGGGCCAGCTCCTCCTCAATGAAGAGCCATACCAGGGGTTTTTGCTCAGTGGGGCATGGCACCTGCCTGGCGAGAGCTGCAAGCAGCCCTGGGGACTGTACCATTACCAGGGTCAACCCTGCTAGTGGCCACAGCTGCAACTGGGACTGCCATGGTAAAGGGATAGAGAGGGCAAGGTGCAACCTGGGCAGTGAAGCTTTTGCTGGGATCTGAGGATATAGAAATACATAAGTCAGACTCCCTACCTCTAGGAGCTACCTAGTGGGAGAGACAGTCATAAAGCAAGCACATGAAAGTGCTACAGGTACTATGAAGAAAATTTGCTCAAACATCCCCAAATGATTAAGGTGGTTTCATGCCTCTGTACTTTTGTTTATGCTGCTGCTCCCCTTACCTGGAACATCCCCTCCTCTAGTTTTTTTTTTTTTTTTTTTGGTGCTATGGTGCTCAAAGGAAGTTTGAATAGATAAAGCTAGAGAGAGACTGGCAGGGACTAGGGTGTGAGGAACTTGTGCGGAACATTAAGGAGTTTGGATGTTATTTAGAGATCAGTGGGGGGATTACGTGTAAATGTTGATGGGAATGATCCAGTAGGGAAGGAGAGCAAAACCAGTCATTCATTTGTTCATGAGTGGGTAAGAATGAATGGATGCTGATAAAATATTCAAAGTATGAGTAGACAACTCTTCAGAGATGCTTTTGTGTAAAAGAGATCAAATACAGATCAATGAGAGAAGCCTGGAGGGGAATGTACATCAAGGAAACGCTTCTAAGATGATAAATACTTGAGAATATCTCAATGCTTTTGGAAGGAGAGCAAACATATTCATTTACTGCATCGCTGTTTCAAAAGGTGAGAAAGATCGCTATAGTAGCAGTGAGATGAACTGGGGTAAAGGGGTCCAAAATGGAAGCAGGGAACACTAGTTAGAGGATAACAGCAACAGCCCAGGTGAAGATGATGGAGTAAATTAAGGCAGTGGAAGCAGAGATGAGACAGAACTCAAAGAATTTACAGTACTAAATCTTTGGTTTCCTTTAATATGACAACCACCTTCTTACCCTGCTAAATACTCTCCCAAGCCCCTTTAATTTTCACCTCTGATCTATCTCCCTTAGCGTTTCCCACTTGAACTCCTGACTCTCCTATAGTCCCTCACATGCACCTCAAGCCCCTCTAAGCTCCAGATCCTTCCCTGTGAAAGCTAAGGGGTGGTGTTAGGAACCCTGGACTCAGGGTCAGACAAATCCCAAACAGCTGTGTGACCTTTGGCAAGTCTCTTTCTCTCGCTGGTCCTCAGTCTCCTTGACTTATTGAGAGGATTCAACGGGTGATCCGACTGTGACACTATCAGCCTTTGATGCCCTCCTCGCATCCCCAATCGCCTTTTCTTGCAGTCAAGGGCCCAAGTTACCACCAGCCCGATAGCTCCAGCTCTAGGCCAGGCCTCAGCTGTCTCAGTATCTAACCTTGAACAAGTTGAGTCGCTTCTCTAGAAGTCGTTTTCCCATTTCTATAATGAGGACAGGTCTTTCTGGGCTGCCTGCCTCAAGAGTGTCCTAAGAGTCCACCTTAGCGTTTGGAGAGCCAGAGCACAGACAAACGTGGAACGAGCCAGGGATTTGCAGAGACTCCCAGCTCTGACACCAACCAGCTGTGTGATCTTGGCCAAGTGACCTAGCCTCGCGGAGCCTGGCTACATTATCTGAAGAGCCGGGACTGTACTAGTGCCCACCTCACAAGGCTGTCCTAAGGATCAGAAGCCCGGGCCGCCCCTCCTCCCGCCTCCTTGCCCGCTGCCAACCAGCAGGGGCCCGCACCTGCGCAGCTGCTGGATCTTGTCGCGGTAGCGGTCGTAGAAGGGGTTGGCCTGGAGCTCGGCCTCGGCCACTACTCCGCTGCCGTCGGCGCCCCCCTCGGGCCGGCCGGAGCCGCGGCGCACTGAGAACACGCGCAGCTGCGCGGGTGACACGAGCCCCAGGCCCAGGGCGCGGCTGCGCACCGCGCACAAGCCCCGGTAGAGGCCAGCCACCTGCAAGACCGCCGGTCCCGCGCCACCAGCAGCCGCCACCACCACAGCAGCCATGGCGGCCCCCGCCTCCTCCTCCTCAGGCGCGTCGGCCTCTGCCCGCGGCCCGCGCGCCCGCTCCATCCCTCTCCGAGTGCGCCGCTCCCGCGCTCGGGCACCGAGGTTCCGCGCGCCCAAGGTTCCGGGCGCGGCGCAGAGGAGGGGGCGCGCCGCTCTGGCCCCGGCACCGCGCGCTCTCGCTGTCCTGTGTCGGCCACGGCCCGCCTCCTCCTGGGAGGCTACCCAGATTTACGCCCTTCCGCCCTCTGGGACCAGCAGCCTCTGCGCGCCAAGACTGCTCTCTAAAGCCAGCAGATCTCCAGGTCCTTGCGGTGCTTGCTCTGTTTTAAATGTACCTGGCACTCGTTGTAGTAGTCTGTCCTTCAGCATCGAAGGTCCTTTCATCAACTATAATCACAGCAGCCAGCTTCTCTTTACTGAAGTTGCTATGTGCAGGACACTGATTGGCTTCATACTCTGTGTGGCAGGTATTATCCTCATCTAACAGATGAGGAAACTGAGGCTGGGAGTCATTATGTGACTTGTTCAAATTCTACCCAAGAGCTGAGCTCTTTTCAAGATGGCAACTGCCTCCCAAGCCTCCTTTCCCCTTGCTTCCTGACATCCACCTTGAACTCCAGCCAAAGGGATCTATTCTCTCCCAAAGAAACACCAGGATTACTCCTTGAGGAGTTCTTATTCAGGCCCTTTTTGACCCCTGGAATGCCCTCTCCTTCCATTCTCTCAACCCAAATGCCACAATCTTCCTTACCCTCTGAACCAGGTGTGAGCTCCTCGGGTCACAGACAGTGACATCAACCTCTCTGTGTCCCACCTGCTCGCAGAACGGGGTCAGTCCTGGAGTGGGCTCTCTGGGACAGTACTCATCATCAGGCCCTTCTTGTATGATTGAAACCCCTCCTTTGGAGGATGGATGATCAACTCTGCTCAATCCAACCTATGCTCATGGAGATCAGCCCTAGGCCCTGCCCTGTGTGAAGAACAGTGTAATGGAAGATTAACAAGTCCTTCAAGTATTTCAGCCCATCCCTGGCTCATGCGCCTCACACTTGCTGTTTTCTCTGTGGATCTGCACGTGACTGCCTCCTCATGACCTAAGGGCTCAGTTCACATGTCAGCACCTCAAAGGGACCTAAATGACGAACCCCCCCCACACCCGTCTCCTCTTTAGAGTCCATCCCATTGCTCTATTTCATTCTCTAATCATAATCTGAAGTTCTTAGATCCTTGTTTATATTAATTCATTGAGCTTACATTCTACTGGAGAGAAACAGAGAATAAATGAATATATAACATTAGGTGATGCTACATGCTATGCAGAAAAACAGCAGGGTAAGAGAGATAGAGATAAGGGTACACTTGAGCAGAGATCTGAAGGTAATTAGGGAATGCTGGGGGGGAAGAGCCTTCCAGGTAGGGGGAACAGCAAGTGCAAAGGCCCTGAGGAGGAGGTTATTGAGTCTGGATGAGTGAGGGCACAGCGGTAGAAATGAGACCAAGAAGATATAGGGAGGGTGAGTTAGATTGCTCAGGCCTTGGTTAAGGACTGTGATTTTAAAGCTAAGTGAGATCAGAAGTCACTGTATGTTTTAACCAGAGGAGTAACATGATCTACTTTTTAAAAGGATCACGTTGGCTACTGGTGGAATTTAGGGTATGTGGAGGCAAGGATGGAAGCTCTCCCAAGAGTGACTAATTTGTCCTAGCTTCCCTAGGACTTTCTTGGTTCTAGCATTGGAAGCCCCAAGTCCTAAGAACCCCCTCAGTCCTGGGCAAACCAGGATGTTGGTCACCCTACAGGGAGAACAGTAATCCAAGTGAGAGATGGTGGTACTTGGACTAAAGTGATAGTGATAAAAAAAAAAGTGGCCAGATTTTGGTTTTATTTTGAAATAAAAGTGTAAGGATTTTGCTGATGGAGTCAGTGTGGGCATGATAGAATGAAAGGAATCAAGGATGACTTGCAAGTTTTTGGCTTGAACAACTCAAAGGACAGAGATGCTTCTTATGAAGAGGAGGAATGCTGTAGGTAGAGTAGACTTTGGAGGATGGATGATCAGAGTCTGGTTTTGGACATGTCAGTTGGGGATAATTTAGCAGACTGGCAAGGAGGGATGTCAACCAGGTATTTCGGTATGAGTCTAAAGTTCTGAGGAGCATTCCAGGCTAGAGAGATACAGTTGCACACTGTCAGTGTCTAGTGATATTTAAAGCCAGGAGTCTGGATGAGATAACCGAAGGAATGAACGTAGATAGAGCACTAAGAACTGAGCCCTACGACATGCCTACATTTAGAGATCGGGGAAAAGGGAGAAACTGACAAAGGAGACTTAAAAGTAGGGGTTGGTGATACAGGAGGAGAGCAAGGGTAAGCGGACCCTGGAGAGAATTCTGTGCTAAATATTTCCCTAAGTCACACACCGGAGGACGATAAAGAAGGGAGTCATTAAAACGGTGCCAAGAAGCTGAGCTAGGAGCAGTGGTATAACCTACTGGAAAGGCTGACTTAAGCTTAATTAAGGAAGAGTTTTCTAACTGAGCTGCCCATAAATGTACCAAGCTGCCTCAGGAGACCCTCACTTGAGTCAGGAACTTGCTCAGTCCAGGGGGATTAGTTGCTGTGTAGGGAAAGTTCTACCCCCAGGACTCAAGAATGGTCCTGATGGTGTGACCAGGTGGTGAGAGTTGAACTAGACAACTCTCAAGTTCCTTCAAACTGGAGATGATGTGATTCTGGGCAGTGTGTCACAGAGTAGGGGGGTTGAGCTGAGTCTTGAAAAATGAACAGGTGTTCAGTGGTGGAAAAGTGGGCAGGGGCACTCCTGGGTGAAGGAGCAGCATGAGCATATCTCCAGAGATGTGAATGAGTAGGGTCTATTCAGGACACTGTACTGGGCAGAAGGGAAAGGTGTGTGGAGGCTGGGGAGGGAAGTAAGGCTGGAAGGAGATGCAGGCCAGATGGTGGGGAGTCCCACTGGGTCTGGTGCTTGGGACACACTTGTTAGCATTTGAAGGAAGGTAACTAAATAAAAGAGAGATTGTTGGAACCCAGGAAGGAGGTATTGACCACTTGGTTCCCTTGTGCAGGGTTTCTCCTGCCAACTTGGTTAGAGTTTATGAGGGCAGGGCTGCCCAATGCTGTGTGTTCCCTGTTAAATTCCTCACTGGGGACAGGTATCCCATCAACTGTTCCCTAAAGACCAGTAACATCAGTAAGTTCCTGAGGGATAATGACCCTTTCCTGGGGTCTGCTCTGTGGGTTCACCATAAGGGATGGGGTCAGACAATTCAGTCTCTGATAGAATAGAGACACTCCACCCCATAAAATTCCACTGGATGAAGTCCCCTCCTTCCATTAACTCAAGACCACTTCACAAGCACTGTCCCTAGAATGTCCAATGCTCAGAACCCAGTGACCTTTCCTTTAGAGAATAAAGGGCCTGGGCATTCTGGAGACTCTGATTGGCTGGGCACATGGGTGGGTGAGCTCCCTCTCCCCAGAGCCACCAGCCAGGTACCAAAGCTCAACTGTATGGATTCCCAACAGGAGGACCTGTGCTTCCCTGGCAGTAAGTGCTCCTCCAGTCCCTGTCACTGTACTTGTGCCCTAGGGCTTGGGTACAAACACTTAGGGAAGGCCCTTTGCATGGATGGAATGGTGCCTGGCTGTATGGAGGAGAGCTAAGCAGTTAGGAGATAGTCTACTCAAGATCTGATGAACCAGAGATGATATTATCAATAGCCCAGGACCATCACAATGGAATGGAATGAAACATTGGTATCTCTGTTAACTGGTGAACTTTTACTTTTTTTTAAACAGAGTTTCACTCTATTGCCCAGGCTGTGGTACAGTAGCATGATCTAGGCTCATTGCCACCTTCATCTCCTGGATTCGGGTGATTCTCCTGCCTCAGCCTCCCAAGTAGCTGGGACTACAGGCATGCACCACCACACCTGGCTAATTTTTATATTTTTAGTAAAGACAGGGCTTCACCATGTTGGCCAGGCTGGTCTTGAACTCCTGCTCTCAGGTGATCTGCCCACCTGGGCCTCCCAAAGTGCTGGTGACCTTTTACTTCTTGATGGACTTGCCCATAGTGAAACTTCCCAGTCTGATGGATTGGATGGATGCTGGGTTAGAAACCAGAGGCTTGATTGAGCCTGGGCAGCTCATGCCCCCTCTAACACCTAGCTTTTCTGATCTGTAGAGTTAAAGGTGGTGCTTAAGCTCCCTGGAAATCTAGCTTTGACTGAATAAGAGAATGATGAGGCAAGTCAATGAAGGAGGGAAGGAATGGTTAGCGTAGTTAAGTAGATGAAGTGATTGATGAATGGGTTAAATGAAAGAGGAAGGAGAAACAGCTCAGACCCCAAGCCACAGCTATCAGCAGCCTGACTCTTTTTCTTTCTTGCTGTCTTAGCATGGGTCTCATTGTACTTTGGATTCCTGGGGCTGTGTTCGGTGATAACTGGAGGCTGCATTATCTTTCTGCACTGGAGGAAGAACTTGAGGCGGAAAGAGAATGCCCAGCAGTGGGTGAAGGTGATGAGAGCTGCCACATTCACCTATAGCCCATTGTTGTACTGGATTAACAAGCGACGACGCTATGGCATGAATGCAGCCATCAACATGGGCCCTCCCCCTGCTGTCACCAAGACTGATACTGAGGTCCAGAATCCAGATGCTCTGTGGGAATTGGACATCCCTGAAGGCAGGAGCTATGCTGACCAAGACAGCAACCCCAAGGTGGAAGTCCCCACTCCCCTGCAACCTGTGCTGCAGCTGGCTCCACAGCAGCCCCAGGCCAGCTCCCCATTCCCACTTCCCATCTTTCAGGAGGTGCCCTTTGCCCCACCCCTGTGCAACCTACCCCCCATGGTGAACTACTCTGTCTCCTATCCTTCGGCCACCTGTTCTGAAAGGAATGTTCGCTTCCATTCCCTCCCTAATCTGGCCCATGAAGACCTCAGCTTCAATGCCAGGCCTTTTGCTTCAGAATTGTAGCCTCCTTTCACTGAAGGTGAGAGCTGCAGATATCAGGTGCAGAGTAGGAAACGGAACTACGCTCAGGGAGGCGGTATTGACGGAGGTCAGGACCCATCTGAATGTCATGCTATGAAAGATTAAAAAAAACAAAAAAACTCCAAGGCTCCCTCTGGTCTCATCTGCTGTTGGAGGACAATATCCTTCCTGTGTGATGGGGTCACTTTGCAAATCAAGTTGGTTGCTGAGTCTCACCAATATGATTTGGCACTGGAGGTTGGCTGTTGGGAGACATAATCAGTACTTGTGAATGGACTCAATATCCCTCTGTTCAGTATTTAAAACAAAGTGCCTTGGCCTAGGTACCCCAAGGCCCTGCTGTTCTGTGGGATGTGAAGCACAGCTGCCACAAAAGTGATAACTTCTGAGGGCACATGAGTATGGTGACTTATAGTGGCTATGTCACAGGCAAAACGAGTCACCACGAGCCCCTCAAGCCACACTGCACTATGGGCTGAATTGTAGTCTTTATTATCTATGATGTATGGAGCTCTCACGTGGTTGCCTCTGTACACCATTTTTAATAATTCACAAGAACACTGCCAAACGGATATCATGATCCTCTCTTACGGATGAAGAGACAGGTTCCAAGGTATATGCCATACCTTTCTTAGTTGCAGAGGCAGTTCTCAAATCTACATCTGCCTCACATCAAATCTACTGGTATCATCAGTTGCCTGGTACCAAAGGCACTGATCTTCCCACTATACACCATAGTGCCCCTGCTCTAATG